TCTGAAATGGAAAGTTTGAAGATGAGAGCCTTAGTGACAAATAATATAGGCTATGCTATTCTTTGACAATGAAATTAGCTTGAATGTTATTATAGGTACTATCCTTTTGTGCAGGGAACATTTATTTGTTTAGTACTACTCTAAAATTAATGTATATTTACTCAGGAAGCTAACTATGATCTTGTTGTTGTTTGGTAGGGTCTCTTTCCTGGAACTGAGAAAATGCTATGCAGTTTGAATCTGTGCAACTTTCTTTGGCTTTTGTTTCCATTCTAGTTATTCTGATTCATTTTCAGTAAGACTCAAAAACCTTAGGTTGTCCTTTTTACTTTTGAAGTGTTCATTTGTGTTGTTTATTAGTTTTCTGTATACATTTTAAAATCATTGATTTTTTTGTTGGCATTTAAAACTGTAACTCTGAAAAGGAAAATGAATTTTTAGTGTTTAATTTATATATTCAAGAATGTTTAATATCAAATTTTAAATTTTCCAAAAAGACATAGTTTTTCTTATGTAGGCTTCACTAATTAAATTAAAAAGGTGTTGCTATTTTGAAGTCTTAGCATTTTCAAATAGCTTGTTAAGCTGTTTAAAAATGTAGTTTTCAATAAATCATATAGCATTTGATCTCATGCCTCTTTATAAGTCATATAAACATACGGATTTATACTTAACAGAAATATAATTTTATTTATGATTTTTTTCTAGAATACTCTGTTTTCTACATATACTCCTCAGTGTCAACATGCCATCATTTCATAACTATGTCAAAAAAGGTTCATAGCTCAATATTGTTAAATAGCACACCAGAATGTTGTCTATTCTTATTTTTCTATAAAACCAACTCAAATATACCAGCCACTTCAATTTAATTGTGTGTGTATTCAATTTGTAAGTAAATTCCAGTGTGTTGGGCTAGAAAGCCCCACCTCCCCAGCATAGAGCAAGGGTAATATTGCATTAGTATTTGGTACTTACTACATATCACCTAGGAAGGCTTACAGAGTAGAGACTTCTGTGGTCTGGCTCCTTTTTCTTCTTCTGTATGTTCATCATAACATTTGCACAGAGTATTCTATGAATATTTGTTGATTGACTTTGGGCTCCATATGAAGTAAGATAGAATTATTTGGCATTATTTTGTGTGTGTGTGTGTGGGATTTCCCCATGTTTCTTCTTTTGTCAGGTCTCACTTAGAGGCCGTCTTATGCAGTATTTTAACTTGACATTTATGAATCTTGAGATTATTATGCTAAGTGAAATAAGTCAGACAGAAAAAGTCTTAGACCACATGACTTTACTCATATGTGGCATATAAAATTGAAAGCCACAAACAAACAAACAAAAACTCATAGACACCAACAACAGTTTAGTGGTTACCAGAGGGTAAGAGGAGAGGGGGTGATAGAAGAGGGTAAATGAGTTCAGATATGTGGTGATGGAAGGAGAACTGACTGTGGGTGGTGAGCACATAATGCAATAGACAGATGATGTATTATAGAAATGTACACTTGAAACCTATATCATTTTACTAACTAATGTCACCCCAATGCATTTGATAAAGATTAAACAAACAAGAAAAAAAAAAACCACACACACACAACTAATTAACCAAAGAATGAGCCTAATCATAAGGCTCTGGGGAGCGTTTGGGAACCCCCTGCCTCAGACCCTCTTGGTGTACCAGGTACAGGCACAACTGGGGCTAAAAAGTCATAGAGAAGCTCCCGTGTTCAACAACCTCTTTGACTAAAATTTCACGGATTTCTGGTGTCATTTAATTTTTTTCTTTAATTTTGAAGTATTATTTACATATGGTAAAGGGCACATATCTTATGGATGCAGCTTGGTGAATATTCATAAACATAGCAGTAGATGCAGGGACCGCCATCAGCCCACATGCCTACTTGCTTCTCCTTCCCGCCCTCCCAAGGGTAAATGATGCTTTTACTTAATTTTAAAATTTGCTACTTTGGCTCTAGTTTTGTTTTCTTAATTATGTTTTGTTTCAAATGAAAGTGTTATTAAATTTTAGGTATTTCATAAGATAATTTCTGATTATAGTATAACAAACAGAAATGTGGGGAAATCCAGGATCAAAGAATTGCCAAATGGCTCATAGTAGCCAAACATTCACTTTTAAAGTGTATTTGGAGATATTCCCAAGTGTAAAAAAAAAT